TGGAAGCACCATCGACGCTGTACAAAATATGTGAACCATAATGTCAATCATACGTATTTAGATGCTGTCACATCTTTTTGCACCTTTTTGGGAGAAACGAAAGCGACTCAGTGAAGTCATCGGGCTCATAGCTGTTAAGCTTCTACGCTCATATCATCAGTGAGTTTGAAAGCTTTTGTCACGCTGATGTGACGACGATCACAATAGGTTACTTCACAGTTTTGTAACCATTTTCTTTTTATATTTAAGTATGCAGTAACTTTTGTACTGTACATTGCTGTAGTTTGAATGCATATTGCACTTTTTATGTTGGTCAAAATAATGTACTGTATGTGTTCATTATGGAAATAAACATTTCTTTTACATAATACGCCGTGCATCCTGTTTTCTCTTGTGAACACAATCAATTCAAAACTAATAATATCAGAAAAACAGACGTGGGATTGTATCCTGTGTCAACCCTGAATGTGATGGACGCTGAATGGGGAAACTATCACAGGCATAACGAAATATCTGTGCAGTGACTCGACAGTGATGGTGTCTGTATCCTGAAATGACATCATCATGCCCCCATCTGTATGCTTTGGCAGGAGAGACGTTTTCTAACAGCCAGGTTATATAACATTTGGCTTCCCGTCACTGTTTGCATGACATCAGTGAATTACTTAAGTTACACGCTCTTGTTCCTCCTATATGACTGTGCCTGTCTGTATAATGAATGGTAGGCCCTGTGTACGGTGTAGCATGTAGTGGAGGAGCATTGAGGCGGTAAATATGTTATTTAGCGTTGTTTGTGAATTGACAGTAGTATAAAGCATCCTGTGTTTTTTTTTGGTGCATTTACATGAAACCTGACACTGCTATTTACAGAAATGTGAAATGGAAAACTAATATGTCTGACTACTGTACACTTGTAAACACTTAAATGACAGAGGAACTAAATGAGGAGGCTTGTAAAACCCATCATTAGTGTGCCAAGAAGCCTGTGGAGTCTGTCTTGAATTAATGATGAGCTTAAATTAGAGACATATTGGCTTTTGTCTAGACAAGATTGAGGGTGACCTGCAACTCTTTTTCAAACACAAAAACACCAGTTGACAAGAAGACGAGGACTTCTACATGCAGCTTCCCGTCTGTCAACACGGCAGCGTTCACTCTACAGTCTCTGGGTGTGGGCCGGCCCCTCTTCCCCTTCTTCTGCCGGTTAATTCTTGGCTGCCGTAACCTCCACTTTTGTTTTATTATCTGAGGACGTATCCTGTTTTGGATATTACTATAGAGACCGAGAGAAACAAAAGAAATAGGTCTGAGCTATTTTTCAGATGACTTCCCACACTCCTGGTCCTATCCAGGTTAGCTATACAGTTACTCACCATTTATCCCAGACTTCAGCCATCTCCTACTTATCTTTACTAGGGTGAAGTAGTATCTACGCAGCCCATGACACCGGTATGCAAACAGTGTTGTGTAAGGGAAAAATTAGGACATTCCTTATACTCACTCTAACTGTCAGGATCTGTACTGGTCATTGACCATAACATCCAGTATCATTCCTCTGCCTTACTTGGAGATAAGGTGAAAAGGTCACCACTTATGGCCAGGCAATACATTGTTTTTCATGCACTGGTTAATTTTGGGCCAAAGAAAATGTCCAAAATACACTTTTATGTGTTTATTCTACTATACATGGATCTACTTCTGTATATCTCTCCTATAAATATAGGACATACTGTGTCTGTATATAGTTGTTTCTAATAAAAATGTTTGGAATCTCCACTTCAGTAGCCTTTACATGCACCAGACATTCCAGTTTTATTCTTATCTATAATCTGAAAATTTTTACAGAGAGGTTCGTTCATATATTATCCAAAGCCTGATGTATACAACATTTTATTCCTAAAAAGATTGCTTTTTTATGGCTTTATTTTCTGGTTTATTTAGTGATAAAACAAGATTTTTGTACTTTGAAACTAGCTTTTTCCACTGTTTAGATTTCTGTTGTGGAAAATATTTAATTTTAAATATGTTATTAGATAATGTCCATTTGCATATTCAAACATAAGATTTCTGAAATCTCGTAATACAAAAAAAGAGAGTCTTGTTGTAAATAATCAGCTGGAGAAGTTTCATGGTTTTTTCTGTTAGTTAAAAATCTCCCCCTGTAGTGTCTCAGCTTCATCCAAACACATTCTCCATTAACCACACACACAAACAAAGATACAGTATGGAGATATTAAACCCAACTTTTCTGAGGTTTTCTCAAAACAGCTAAAAGTAACGCTACAAGTTCTCCTGATTGTGTTAGTCAAATGTGCTCTGACATCACATGGATGTAATATAAGGCTCCCATTGCTTGTGCATTTGAGGGAGGACTGAACATCACCAAACAACCAACAAAGAGCACTCTGTCGGTCCCGAGAGAGAGAGCGAAACAACACGGCAGCAACATCTATCTGGTAAGTGTCAGCCTCAACATATGATAACAGATCAATATTATATGCATCTCATTGTAAGAGCAGGGAGTCGTCATGAGCCAGGCCTGTGCCCAGCTTGTTGTGTTGTAATAATCAGAGCGCAGAGGTGGTTAAAAAAACGATACATTGTCTATTTTCCCAGATGCTGAGACTTGTGAGAGGTTCCTGGGTTAGTGGTTTTGGATTCCTGTATGTCTGAATATGTTGAGCAGCAGAGCACATGGTGATCAAGTGATCAGCTTTGAGCATTCAGGGAGGATGAGACAGGATAATAGAGCAGTTGTTAACAGGGATAGACTGCCCAAGGGGAAGGGGTTCCCCACACTGGCTGACAGAGTAGGTGGAGGATAATCAATGAATGCAAATACCACTGAAGCCCCACTGATCTGGAGGAGGGGAAAAGACACTTCTCTAACTGTAACAGCATGAAAAACCTTTGTATCTTCTCACACAGCTATGCCACCATTGTAGGGGGATAACATTAACTCCCTTTGCCATGTGTCTGGCCAGTGAGCAGGCCTGTCAGATGATAAGACAACAGCAGTCATATGTTGTCACACAGACGGGGCATGAGGCCACAGACAGGAAACAGACTCATGGTCCAGATCATTGTTCATTGTGCCTCGCCATTTTCTCTGCTTACTGCTGCAGTTTAGTGGATGAAAACTCATTAAACAATTAGACAATCTCATGGAAAAGTTTGCCTCTGCAACACATAATCTGGGTTTTGCCTCATGTTTTGCTTTCTTGTTGACAACAGCTGCTATCGTTCCACCTCCTCCTCCTCCTCCAGCTACTATGAATACTCCCATACTTTTTTGACCATTAATCATTATCCACACGAAAACCATCAACATCTTCTGTAAGAGAGCAATAACAGCAGTCAACAACACAGGATAATGTTCCTCAGAGGAGCCTTTTAAATACAAAATATATCCAAAGTTAGATTCACACGGTGCTTTTATTCCATTCCTGCATAGAATACTTGCATTAAGTTTAGTTGAGTTTTTTTAAATGCTAACATCACGTCTTCCTCATATATACAACACATGGCGACACAAAAATACTGGACTCACTGGCGCCTAATCAATTAATTTGGTCACATGAAACTAAATCAACAACAAAAAAAATGTGACAAGAAGACGCAGGAGAAGCTGACTCTCAAAATGCAAAGAGTGGGAAAAGATATTTGCTGACAGAGTGTCATAAGACACCAACAGAGACGGACTAATCAATTTGTCAGGCTCAGTGTCCCTGTCGTTCCTACTGTTCTGCTGTGAGGCTGATTATCCCAAAACATTGATCACAGATTTCACTTATCAACATTGTTACTCTGAGGATGAGGCTTAAGTTTAGAACATCCATTTAATTTGCATTAGGGCCGCACGGTATGGTAAAAACATCATATTGTAATTATCTTGAAAGATATTGTGATATGATTCACAATTTGTAGTTTCAGAACTATAATTCATTATAATGCCATGTAATAATATAATATACCTGTTTTGTCACACGTTATACTTTTTTCAAAAAAAACTGCAGCTTCTGCAATTTGTAAATTTTGACCATATTTGTGATTCTGATAATTTAGATTAATTGTGCAGTGAAAATACAACATTATATCCAGTGTAAGAGTGAAATAATGCTGCAGTGATAGCGCTGAAGGACTCAAATTCACAAGTGAGATTGATGCAAAATCTTGTGACTGTAATTTTACTTAAAACGGACAACTGTGGTCATCGCAAGTGCATGAATAACCCCAACAGAGGGGAGACTATAGCAGTTAAAGTCATAACATACTTCCATGAAAATAGCTCCTGTGTGACTATGAGTTGTTTGCTACATGCTACATGGTCTCTTCCTAAGTCTGAAACCATTTCTAATGTCTAGACAGTGATGTTAACCCCAGGTGTCAGCTCCTTTTCTGTTGCTTTTCTGTTTTCAGTGTAGTATTCAAATGGGAAATATGAGCGGAGGTGCTCAGAATAACAGAGGTTGTGGTGGAGCACAGATCAGTCATGGTCAGCAGGCAAAAGAAACTACTTCTGGGATGGCATTCCTAACACGTAGTATGATTTTGTGAGGTTAACACCATGTCTTTCTCTACAGACCAGTATGGGACAGAACCAGGATAAACTGGAAGGGGGCGAACAGGCCCTCGATGAAGGATTAGAGGGGACGAGGCCAATCCTTGACTCTCCCGACTCTGGAGATGCAGGCAGTCATGCAGGTGATGTCATGGAGGGAGGAAGCTCCTGCAAGGAGGAGGCTGGTAACACCAGGGAAAATTCAGGGGAGCCAGATGCTCAGGATCTGGACGGGAGCCCTGGCAAGGAGCCAACAACACCTTCTAGCGAGAAGCACATACATTTGTGGGAGAGTCCTTTCGCTGCAAGGGAGGTGAGACAGGGAGGGGCTGCAGGAAAGAAGGGAGGAGGAGGAGGAGGAGAAGGAGGCAGGACCGCTCCTCTGGTTCCACAGGAGACGGACGAGAACCAAAAGAGTAGTTCGTGGATTGAGGAAAGAGCCAGAGCGTACAAGCTGTTCAATCAATTCAAGAGAGAGGAGAAGAAGACTGAGGAGGAGCTTCACAGATTGCCAAAGGTCAACATGGAGCGTCGGGATGAGGAGATCCAAGATGAAAACTTCTCGACTGGAGTTTCATATGAAACATATGGCAATGCCGTTACCTTAGAGGATGCAAACTCACTTGGAAACATTGAGGAGGACTCTGCGGTCGTGAAGATGAGCCCATGTGGAGCTCATGCAGGAAGTGAGTTGTTACCGTCTGTACAACAAGATCAGAATGACACCATCATGGCTGAGGTTGCAGATGAAGAAATTAAACTCTTTACGGGAACAGTGGGCCGCTTGAGTGGAAGGAAGGGACCGCCTACAGCTCCACTCCAACATCCTTTGAAAAACAATCTGCAGAAAGAGTCTCTATCAGACGTGAGTGATACCATTCACTGCAGACCTCCAAAAGGGAGAACAGAGAATAATGCAAAAGGGGAAACGCAAGCATGTGAGGTGAAGCCAGTTTTGAGTGACTACTCTTCAACAAAACCAAAGGTTACTGACACTGACGATCAAAAGGAGTCAGTGAGGCCTTATCTACAAACAGACACAACTGAAGCAACCACAAATCAAAACTTGAATTCAGCATCAAATCCGGCCTTACCTGCTGAACCCAGTTCTATTCTGGAGAAGCTACTGAAGAGAAATAGAAAGGAGACAACCCCAGCTGTTTCAGAAATAAAAGAGGTAAACAACACCTTGGATGTTACTGCAAAGAGGATCCCTGACAGTGCGGCACCAGAGCTGTTCACTGATAAAAATGTACCTATGCCAATATTTGATCTGAAGGGGTTGATAGAGAAACCACATAAAGAAAACCTTGCAGCCAAAGAGCATCACGTTACAGGCCGGGACATGAAACAAACAGACACTACAGACACCTCAGATGTACTTCAGCCTGGAGTGATTGCAAATACCATGTGTGAGAGCTCATGCACAAACTCACATTGTTCCAAAGTTGATTGTCAGAGTACAAAGAACATCGACTCAACAGATGCTTCAGTTAAGGAGATAAAGCGCAATACAAGCCCCTCTAAAAACCTGACCTCAGAAAACTCACAATCAGCTGTTTCACATGAAAGAACGTCTTGTGAAGTGAGTGGTGTGATTACTGAGGAATCTGCACCTTCTCCACTGTCTCCACCCACAAAGAGTGATGGGCAAATTGCAGACTCATGCCATTTACTTACTGCAGAGAAGACAGCCGCCAGCACTGTAAGAGCACCTCTACAGAGAAAGAGTGACAGCGAAAGCAAAGCTGATCCACAGTTATCTGGCTCTTCGTGCTCAGATGATCAACCTGTGAGGAGGAAGAAGGTGAAGGACACTGCTGCACCAGCTGCGGAGGCTGGCTTAGTTTTGGTTGTAGACGACACAGTTAAATCAGAGGAAAGCCACCAGGTCACAGCAGGCATGAAGCAGGATCTTCATACACTTCACTCAGAAAATATGATGCCAGACCAGCCTGATAAAAAACCTGTTAAAGAGAGCAATGACAGCGTCTCAGAGAGAGATAAATCCCAGAGCACTCCCAAATCTAGGCCTGTCTCAGAACTCATAAAGGAGACCATTCAACTGCATGAAAAACTGCAGCACCAGGACCGACCAAAGCCAGCTGAAGTCAAGTCTGATGAGCAGGGCCAGTCTTTGAAGGTGGCACAGATGAAGGCGGCTTTCGACTCAGCTCAGAAATCCACAGACAAGGCCATCGAGAGGAAGCCATCAGTGAGAAAAGGTAAGGATCAAAGCTTGTTTACTGCAATATATATATATATATATATACATACAAATGAGTAGAAACTGTGGATAGTGGAGAACACACTGGGAATAACAGGTTGGCAGGTAAATTAATCAGTGAGTCGTTTGTTATTGAAACGATAATTAACCAATGAAGTCTGCTTTCCTGGTCAATGAACCATGTGAATCTGGGCAGCCAGGTTCACCACAAACACTTGCATCAACCTTTATCTACAAGGCTGAAGGAGGCTGAAGAAAAAAAAATAGATTGGATGATGGAATACAGCTGTTTTCTTCTGTCAAAGTCTGCATCACTCTGGATTTGTGAAATAACGCCATCTTGTGGTGCTGTAGTACACTTGTAGTACATTGTGTTCTTGAAATATATTTTTAATATCATAAAATTATTTCTTTCTCACACAGAATCATTCAGCCATATAGATTTGTGTTTATATTTAGTATCCATAAATGTACCCCCACTCACTCACAATTGCACATACACACATAAACACACACTCTACCTATTCTATCATTCATCATTATGCCTCACCCTTTTTTTAAAATATATATTATGGGCCCTCTTGGCTCATTCAGTTGCTCCTAAATGCCGTTAGATGAGTTGGTATGATGCACTTGCCCCCGGCCACTTCCGAAAACAACATTTCCTATTAATTGATATATAAATTGTATAATTAGTGTATGCAAAATAATGCCTTTCCAGGGGCGGATCTAGAGAACTAAGCATGTGGTGGCAAGAGGTGGCATGGAGATTTTAAGGAGTGTCAGAAATACAGTAAATATATGCGGATTTAATTGCAAACAATCACATATTTGCTTAGAAAAGCCACCAAATTATGATATTTGAATAAAAAAAAATTACATTATTGTGGCACATTTGTAAAACACTGAATAGAAATTAGAAATTATCTTATTTCCAAATCTTAAGGCTATAATTTAGTGTAAAATGTGGCCACAACAGATCCTTAGGCTAATTTCTATTATTTTAACACATTATTTTAACATTTTATTTAAATGAATGTGTTCAATTTGACAGTATTTGATGCCAAACTACCACCCCTCTGGATCCACCCCCCTCTAAAATGATGTGATTATAATTATTATATAACAGGGAGATAATGATAAATACACATAGAAAAAGATAACATCACAAAGAGATTAAAACCCCATAAAACCCACCATGCACACACAATTGATGGTGATTTTCTATAAATGGGGAACCTGAAAGAAAGAAAGAAAGAAAGAAAGAAAGAAAGAAAGAAGGCGTGAATTCTACTTGCTGTCGTGCGAAAAAAAAAGCACCGCTCTGATTGGCTCGCTGGAGCTGTCCGTCAAAGACCGCTCAGCCATACGGGGCTCGCCAAGCCAAACGAAAGGGGGCGGGTCTTAGCTGCAGAGTGGGGGAAAGAGCAGACAGAGCGAGCGGTGTCAGCACAGCAGCGGCTCCGGCAGCGGGAGGACTCAAGTGGGATACGCGTTGGGCTGTGTTATATCCTTCAGGCTTTCGGGAATACTTTCATTTATCCCCTTCAGAAGGTAGGTTATATTACGCGGCTTGTTAAGAACATGTTATTTCTTCCACCTTATCCTCCCCTTTTCCTTTTTCTTGTGGGTTATTGAAGCGGGTCTTTCGTTTTCCCACCTAACAGCCATCCAGACAGGAAAGTGCCTGCGCTAGCTAAAATGAATCGGGATAGTCTTGTTTTTTTTCTTGCATGGGTTTTAGTTGGCGGTTCACTGACAATGCCGAAAAGTTTTTAGGCGATAAGTGCACGAATTTGTGTTTTCGAGCAGTGTTTTTGCGCCTTGTGGTGCTGCTGTGGGTGATTCACGACAATAAAATGTGGTGTTATTGAGCGGGGTGGGGTAGCTAACCATAGTGCGGCAGGAAAACTTATCTCCCAAACGATAGATCCACACACACACACACAC